GAGCCGAAGCCCCTTACTAATGTGAGCTAGATGATAAGCTTCTTTGACATGGGAGGTTCAGAAACACAGGACTCTCAAAATTGTGTGTATATATATATATATGTATATATATGCACAGATGTTTAAATATATAGGGTTTGTATAAAGATATCTATCTATATATATATATATATAATAGAACCCTAAATTAGAGAACCCTAAACCCAAGCATCCTTATTAAAGTGTTTTTCGGAAACCCCCAATTCCAAGAATCCCCGGTATCGTGCCTGTTATGAACACATCTCTGATTGATAAAGATACGGGTCCGAATAATCAGCAACAATATACGCTTACAGTTCCTACCGTTCCACTTCTTCAGGCGCCTATATTAACTGTCGATGACAAAGCTCTGCCTCACAATCTAGCAACTGCTTGAGGACAGGTAGGAGTGCTTTGGGTTTTGGAGCATCGAGCTACGATCGAAAATACTCGTAGACCTGCCGATACGAACACGTGTGTGCGCATGTATGCTTTGCTTCCCTTGGCTTGCTAGCATTTGGAGGTTTGCGGCTTGTGTGGCCTGAAACCCGCAACTCTGTTGCTCCCTAAACCCTAAACCCTAAACCCTAAACCTGGCTTCAAACCCGGCTCCTTCTCCTTGGGGGGGACGTGAGGCACATAAGCCCGCAGAGCGGCGTAAAAACTTGCAGACTCTGTACAGATGCGCGAATCGAATTACCTAACGATTTCAAAGCTGAGACCCTCTCAGGCGGACAACCCTAAAATCCGGGTAAAATCCGAGGGTTTAGGGTTTTTCGGCTCGGATACCGGGCCTAGGGTGAAGGGTTTAGGGGGTTCAGGGTTTCAAAAATCAAGGGTAGATCTGGCAAGAAGGCTGGCTATCAATGGGGTGCAGAAGCGGCGCCCCTTTCAGAACAAGAATGTTTCCAAGTGGATCTTGCCAAAGCCTGCATGGCGGCAGCAGCGCTTGACCTGCTTTGTCCCAGCTGCTGGTAGAATCTCCGCGTTGCTCAACCCCAACGCAAAAAAATGGGATTCAGTAAGCCAGTACCTCAAATAACTTCAAGAGGGCTTTGGGCTATAATCTAGGGGCCTGCATAATTAGACAAGGAATTCTGGGCATATTGGAGTAGTATAGTCAAAAAAACTATACGGAATAATATTTCTAATCTTTCAGGCTTATATATATTATGCCCAAATCTAAGGTAGAACCCATGGGCCTCTAGTATGGGCCCTTAACCCTGGGACCCTAATATACCTACTATATACCCTATATGTAATCTTAAGGGACCATAGAATCCCCTAAGGGCCCACGTTAGGGGCCCATGGGTTCAACCTTTAGACCAAAGAGCCCAGCTGCCTTTACCGTGCAACCTACGTTCCACACATTGTCAGGATCCAGCATGTGCGGCTCAACTTCAGGAGTCTTCTCGTAAGTCTAAGAGCCCTAATGAATCAGAGTCAACGCAATGGGGTCAAAAGCAAAGCATATCGAAGAGCAGAGCTTTTTGCATAACTTTCAGGGGTCTTCCGTCTATAAAGGTACCGGGTTTAGGGTTTAGGGTTTAGGCTTTAGGGTTTAAACACCGTTACAGCCATGTTCTCTAAGAACACTAAGACCTGAAATTATAACCAAAGCCCTGCACCTAAACCTGAAGCACAAACCCTACACACCCCGAACCTGGCCTGAGTAACGAAGCCTGGGAATACTCTTACAGAACCCCACTCCCCCGCCCGCTGTTCTTCTTTAGGCCGTAACCTTGCACCTTGAACCTCGCCCCTAACCTCAAACCCCAAACCATGAACCCAAAGCCCTGAGCCCCAAACTTTATGGGGCTTCGGGCAAAACCCTCAAGCCCTAGAGGGCATAAGCCAAAAATCCTACCCCCTACAGAATTTCAGGAAAAAGGCCTAGCCTAAACCCTAGAGGGTTTAGGGGGTACTTAGAGGATGAGGGGGACGTAGTAAGTAGTTATATCTACTTAGAACGCTAATTCGGGTACTTATAACCCTACTTACTAAGTCCCCTGATCCTTTAAGTATTCCTTCCTTCTCTAAGAGCCTCAAAAAGGATCCGAGCCCCTTTGCGCCTCGTCCTGAAAGGCTGCTGGGCCACAGGCAAACGCGAAGCCACCTGAGAGAATTGTGTTTTGGAGGTTTAGGGATTTAGGGCTTAGGGCCCTAAACCCTAAACCCTAAACCCTAGACCCTAAACCCTAAACCCAAACCCTAAACCCTAAAGTTGGGGTTTAGGGTTGAGGGTTGAGGATGCAGGGGCTGTCATCGTGTTTTGCACGGATCCTCTACTCGTTGGGAAGGGCTTTTCTAGAGTTTTGATCCTGGTTTAGGGTTTAGGGGGCCTTCGGGGCGTGTGGGGCTTGGGATTGCAGCTTATGAAGGGTTCTGTGCAGGTTGATGGGGGTGTTCAAGGGGTGCTTATGGCCCATATTTAGCAGTTTATGGAACTTGGCGCAAGTAGGTTTTAGTGCAGCGTTAAGAACGGTAAAACCCGTCTTAGAATATGACTCTCTGATACATCCTTACTCCATCCCTCATCCGAGTTCTGTCGGGGTATACGGCTACTACAGAGGGTTTAAAGGCTTACAAAATTTCGGGGTGGATATAGGGCCTTAAGGGCTTAGGGGTTCTATAAATCGGTCCACCCAGAAACCCCGGAACATGCTGCAAATGATCGTGAGGTCGCTCAGTAAGGGCCTCTAACGGGAGCCTAAGTTAGAGAACTCCCCATCTAGAACCCTTATAGCACTCCTTATGCAAACCCTACAGCAACCCTTAGAGATCCCTTTAAGGAACCTTAGAAGGGTCCTCACCAGGTACAGTGGAGGACCATGAACCGCCTGCACCGCGCAAGCTCAAACTCAAAGATCCACGGAAAGACCCTCGAGGCCTAGATGGGTTTAGGGTTTAGGCTAAGAGTCTACTAGTGTTACGGATATCCCCAAAAACACCGAGGGTGCCTGCGGCTCCTCCCTTTGCAGCGCCGGCGGCGAGCTCCGCCACTGGAGGCCGCCCTGCGGTAAGAGGGAGCAGCTACTAAACCCCAAACCCCTAAACGCCTAAACCCCTACACCCAAAACCCCTAAACCCCTAAACCTCCAAACCCCTGAACTCCTAAACCCTAAACCCCTAAACCCTAAACCCACTGGGGCTTACTACAGAGGCCTTAAATAGGCGAAACAAGCGCTATAGGATTGAATTCGGGTTTGAAAAGCCTTTGCAGGCTTTCACACGGGGGCCTTTGTACCCTAAACTCTAAAATTCCTAAACCCCTCTGAAGGGACGAGAAAGGAATACTAAACTGAACGATTCAAACCCCTCAGAGCTTCAATTTTCGGGGTTTGGGTCTCAAGCAACTGAGCTCTGGGCTTCAGAGGGGTCTGAGGCTCAGGGATAAGGAGAGGGGTTTAGGGTTTAGGGTTGAGGGACTTAGAGTTTAGGGTTTAGGAGTTTGGGGGTTTGGGGTTTAGGTCATAAGGGTTTAGGGTTTAGGCGTGTCTCTGCGATACGAGCGCATCCACCTTTGCAAGTTTGTGCACACACGAGGAGACGGAATCAATGGGAAAGCGCAAGACCAACAAAACTCCAAGCACAGCTCCTTACTTGGAGGATCAGGGGACTTAGTACGTAGGCTGAGAAGTAAGGTAACTATAGTTTTATATACTCTAACCCTACCTTCACCCACCAAAACCCACTTTTTTTGTAGGTTCTTATTGCAAACCCTAACATGGGATTTATAGGGACCCTACCAAAAACGTAGGTTCTGGTAGGTTAAGGTAGTTAAATGTACGTAAAAACCGAGCAACTAAGTCCCATGATCCTCCAAGTAAAACCCCCGA